AAGAGCTGGTACCAATTCTACTGAAACTGTTTCAAAACACTGAAGAGGAGGGACTCCTCCATAACTCTATGAAGCCAGCATCACCCTGATAGCAAAACCTGGCAAAGAAACAACAGAACATGAAAACTACAGGCCAATACCTCTAATGAACATAGACACAAAAATTCCCAACAAAATACCAGCAAACCAAATCAAACACATCAGAAAGTTGTGTTTTCACATTTGGCAAGATCAAGTAGGCTTTATTTCTGGGATTCAATGTTTGTCAATATCGATAAATAAGTGTGATTCATCATATAAACAGAACTAAAAACAAAAACCATATGATCATCTCAATAGACATGGAAAAAGCCATCAATAAGATCCAGCATCCTTTCATGATAAAAATCCACAAGAAACTAGGCATACCTCAAAATAATAAGAGCTATCTATGACAAGCCCACGGCCAACATCATACTGAATGGAAGAAAGCTGGAAGCACTCCCCTTGAGAACTGGAATAAGACGAGGATGCCCACTCTCATCGTTCCTATTAAACGTAGTACTGGAAGTCCTTGGAAGAGCAATCAGTCAAGAGAAAGAAATAAAAGATATCCGAATAGAAAAAGATGTCAAAGTATCTCTCCTCACAGACGATATGATCCTATACCTAGAAAACACTAAAGACTGCCAAAAGGTTCCTGGAACACAAACAATTTCAGTAAAGTTTCAAAATACAAACTCAAATAACTCTCAAGCTGAGAGCCAAAACAAGAACACAATATCATTTACAATAGGCACAAAAAATGAAATACCTAGGCATACACATCTAACCAAGAAGGTGAAAGATCTCTACAAAGAGAGCCACAAAACATGGCTAAAAGAAATAATGAGTGACACAAACAAATGGAAGAACATCTCATGCTCATAAATTGGATGAGTCAATATCATTATAATAGCCATACTGCCCAAAGCAATTTACAGATTCAATAATATTCCTACAAAACTACCAATGTCCTTTTTCACAGGCTTAGAAAAAACTATTCTAAAATTCACATGGAATCAAAAAAGAGCCCAAATAGCCAAAGTAATCCTAAGCAAAAAGCACAAAGCCAGAGGCATCATATTACCAGACTTCAAACTATATTACCAGGCTACAGTAACCAAAACAGCATGGTACTGGTACAAAAATAAACACATAGACCAATAGAACAGACTAAGAGAACCAAGAAATAAAGCTGCACACCTACGGCCATTTGACAAAGTCAAACGAAAATAAGCAATGGAGAAAGGACTACCTATTCAATAAATGCAGCTGTGATAACTGGCTAGCCATATGCAGAAGAACAAAACTGAAACCCTGTCTTTCACCATACACAAAAAGTAAGTCAAAATGGATTAAAGAATTAAATATAAGACCTCAAACTATGAAAATCCTATAAGAAAACCTAAAACACCATTCTGGACATCTGCCTTGGGAAATAACTCATGACTACGTTCTCAAAAGCAACTGTAACAAAAATTGATGAGTGGGACTTAATTTAACTAACGAGCTTCTGCACAGCAAAAGAAACTATCAATGGAATAAATAGACAACCTGCACAATGGAAGAAAATATTCACAAACTATGCACCTGACAAAGGTCTAATACCCAGAATCTATAAGGAACTTAGAGAAATGAACAATCAAAAAACAAATAACCCCATTAAAAAGTGGGCAAAGAACATGAACAGACACTTCTCAAAAGAAGACATATGGGCCAGGCATGGTGGCTCACGGCTGTAATCCCAGGACTTTGGAAGGCTGAGGGAGGCGGATCACCTGAGGTCAAGACCAGCGTGTCCAACATAGTGAAATCTCGTCTCTACTAAAAATACAAAAATTAGCGGGGCATGGTCGCGGGCACCTGTAATCCCAGCTACTGGGGAGTCTGAGGCAGGAGAATCACTTGAACCCAGAAGGCGGAGATTGCAGTGGGCTGAGATCACACCATCACACTCCAGCCAGGGTAACAAGAGTGAAACTCTATCTCAAAAAAATAAAAATAAAAATAAAAAGACATACAAGAGGCTGACAAACATATGAAAAAATGCTCATAACACTAACGAAACCACAATAAGATACCATCTCACATGAATCAGCATGACTATTACTAAAAAACCAAAAAAAAAAAAAAAAAAAACCCAAAGAGATGCTGGCAAGGCTGTGGAGAAAACAGAACACTTATACACTGTTGGTAAGAATGTAAATTAGTTCAGCCACTGTAGAAAGCAGTTCGGAGAGTTCTCAAATAACTTAAAACAGAACTACCATTCTACTCAGCAATCACATTACTAGGTTTAAATCCAAAAGAAAAGAAATCATTTCCCCCAAAAGACATATGCACTTTTATGTGCATCACAGCACTGTTTACAATAGTGAAGACATGGAATCAATCTAGGTGCCCACCAACAGTGGATTGGATAAAGAAAATTTGGTACATACACACCATGGAATACTATGCAACCATAATTTTAAAAAATCATATCCTGGCCAGGCACGGTGGCTCACGCCTGTAATCCTAGCACTTTGAGGGGCTGATTGGGTGGATTACCTGAGGCCAGAAGTTTGAGACTAGCATGGCCAACATGGCGAAACCCCATCTCTACTAAAAATACAAAAATTAGCTAGGCGTGGTGGGCGCCTGTAATCCCAGATACTTGGGAGGCTGAGGCAGGAGAATTGCTTGAACTCGAGAGGCAGACAGTGCAGTGAGCCAAGATTGCACCACTGCACTCCAGCCTGGGCAACAAGACCGAAACTCTGTCTCAAATCAATCAGTCAATCAATCAATCAATCAATCATATCCTTTGCAGTAACATGGATGCAGCTGGAGGCCATTATCCTAAGCAAATTAATGCAGGAACAGAAAATTAAATATTGCATATTCTCACTTATAAGTGGGAGTTAAATACTGGATATTCTTGGACACAAAGATGGGAATAGTCACTAGGGGCTAATAGAGAACAGAGGGAGGGAAGAGGGTAAGGATTAAAAAACTAATGGTCAGGTACTATGCTCATCGTTACCTGGATGATGGGATCATTTGCATCCCAAACCTCAGAATCATGTAACATACCCATGTAACAATCCTGCACATGTACCCCCTGAATATAAAATAAGAGTTAAAATTATTTTTAAAAAGGAAAGTAAAATAAAATTGCCTGTGAATATAAGAAAATGTGCTCAATCTCACTCTGTATTCAAAAAGCAAAAATTATAACAACAATGATTTACCATTTTCGCCTCTGAGGTGGGGAAAGATTTTGGGAAAACAGATATTCATATATATTCTTTCTGACACTATAAATTGATACAAATTCATCAGAATGCAATTTCATACTATCGTTAAAATTTGTAAATGTACACAGCATTTTATCCAGGAATTCTACTTGTAGAATTTGTGAAACACAGCATATATAGAGTCATGTTCACCACAGCAATTCTTAAACAAGCAAAAGACTAGAACTAATCTAAATAGCCATTAATATGCGATTAATTAAATTAAGACAGGCCCATACACAACATTATATGCAGTATGTAAAAAGAACACAGTAGATAAACACAAGCACCTACAGAATAATCTTCAGGCACAGTTGGTGAAAACAGCAAGGAATAAAAAACGAAAAATCATAAATGCACATATGTGTTGAGAGGCATAGACTATTTCTAGGAGAAAACGTGAAAAATTAGAATTAAGAAAACATGAAAAATTAGAATTAATGATTTTATCTGGGCGAAATGCTGTAAGTCTGAGATTGAAGGGAGATTTACATTTGTTAAACTACCTTATGTTACTATATGAATAATTTGCCATAAGCATGAACACTTTGCTACAAGCAATATTTTAACTTTAAAAAGTGATTATAATAAATGGTAATCACTTGAATCATTGAAGAATTCTTTAAATGTGAGGTCTACAATACCAAACAAGAAAAAAGAAAGGCAGGCCTAATAGTAATAACTTTTTTTAAATGTCCAAATTCTTCAGAGTAGTCTAATCACCCCAGATTTGTGTGTGCATATGAACTTCAATTTACAAAGAACAACGAATACAGCACAACAACCTCCAGTGTACATAATCTAAAACAAAACTTTCACACCTCTCTCTCAATATTCCAAAATTTATATTCTCATATTCTAAGGCATAATGTGACAAATCAGACAAATGAATGATAAAGGTGCTAATCCCAGGGGCATGAGAGTATGGATTGTTTCCATTTTTCAATTGCAAGAACTCATTCAGACAAAAAGTAATATCCTTAACTAAACTATCACTTCTGCAACAATTAGTGAAATAATCATGTTGAAATAAAATACCAAAAATTAATGAACCATAATTATCTATTATGAGATTGAGAAGCTACCTGTATAGTAACAAAATCATGTGTGAAATTCACAAGTGAATAAATAAAGGATCTAATCATAAACAAAGCACTCTATTATCAAATCAGTAAACAATACTTATAAGGCACTGGATTTTGATATTAATACAAAATATCTAATTATAGCAAAAACTATAACATTTCCTAGGAATCCAATTGATAAGTAATACAAGCATGACAGGAAAGACTATTTAAGACTATGGGACCAATCTTATTTCAATTTCATGAAAAATTCTGAGACTTTAGTGTTCTCTCACATTATTTTCTCTTACTTGATGAATCAACAGATTCACCTCCCCTGCTTCTCAATAAAAATGACAATTTCATAATGGAGCAGTGCAACACACATATTTAACAATAAAAGTAAAACCTGTATTTTCAGAATAATAATAACATTTATGTATAATAAAATTCAAAGGTAAAATAAATTTCCTTCTTTAATTACTAGGTAAAATATGGTTAAATGTCAATCTATTTATGTTTCACCCTGTCTGATGTGGGAAAACTATACATATACCCACTACTAGAAAATTTTAGCAAAACAATGAATTAAATTATACTTGAATCAGGAACTTATATTTTATTTTTAAAAATGTACCTTTCATCTGAGTAGCAAAATTCAATGCCAGTTTGGCAAAGAGATCTGGATTCTCAAACTTGTCTTCTTTAACTTTTAACCAGAAACAGTTCTCAGATAATTCTGTGGGTTCAATCTGAAACAAAAATAACAAAGAAAAGATTCTAAATTATAATTTCATATTTAAATTTTCAAGGAACTAACTCTCAGCAAGGTTGAATGACAGTTCCTTTATTCCTCTATCTTCTAAGTCAATTTCAGGATGTATCTAAATAATACTTATAAAGTAAATATTCATTGGGAAATTCAGAATTGTGTGAAGAAATGGCAAACAATAGAAATAGGCCACATAGCAAATTGCACCTTAAAAATTATTCTCCTGGAAGGAGTCTTAAAAATAATTTAGGAAATCCTAACCCCAACTCACATAAAATCTTCTTGTTCCTGGGTTTTTTAAAACAGGGAAACTCAGACTTAGAAAAGCGAATTCCCTTTGTTCACTCATTAGGTTTAAGTTAGCAACCATAATGATAGCTGACACACACCTCCTACATTGTGTCAGGTACTGTCTTAAGTTATTTGCATATATTAACTAATTTAATCCTCGTAATAATTTTTTGACCTGTTCTGTTATTATCTCCACATTAAAAGATGAGGAAACAGAGCCCAAGAAAGTTTAAGTGGCTGCCCAAATTAGTAAATGGCAGAGCTGGGATTTTAAACCCAGATAAGTGCTCCAGAGGACCGTGGTCTTAACTACTACCCAAGATTAAAACTTTATCTTCCAATACACCATGAAGCTTCGTGATGTGTAACTACCATTACATTGCACACTAAATTGTTAAATTAGGAAGCATATCACTACATTAACACAGGCAGATAGCGAGGCAACAGCTTTGAAATCTTGTATTTTGATGAATTGTACCTAATCTTTTTAAAAGAAAAACTACATTCTAAAACCATTTACTCCAAGTTTACTCTTATGAGCAAAGCATAAATATATGCATAAGACTGAAAAATTATTTAACCATCATTCTGTTTAAACCAACTTACTACATAGATGCTGTCTAATACTGTAAATATGTTCTTGGATGACACATTTCCCCAAATGGTTGTCTGGGTAAATGGATTTTCATTAGATTAGTTCCCAGTGAATGAGGACTGTGTCAATCTACATAATAACCTTTTAAAACATATTATTTGCTAATAATAATAAAGTCTAACAACATTCAGAAGAAAGTATTTTCATACATCATATTAAAAATTAAGGTATGTCAATATTGAATACTGTCACTTATTCCACACTATCTGAAAGTGTAAAACTTAAAAAAAAAAAGTCATTCACTAAGAAAAACAAGTAAGATAAAAAGGCTCAATAATAAAAAGGATTTTATTTAAGAAAAATGGGGAAGAGGCTTCAGCTCACAGGAGGCAGGTGGCACTCATATCCTCCATAAAAAGCCAAAAAAGAGAGTAGATAATCACAACATGTATAAACATTGGAATTTGGCAGGGAAGTTACAGAAAACACCTGAGGCATGGAAGGAGCGGGAATCCAGGCAGCAAGCCTGGCTGTTACCAGCTGGGAGCCCAGAGAAGCATCCCAATGTGGGAAAAGGGTAAATAACATATCCCCAGTGGTCCAGATTCCCACTGTGAACTCTGAAGATTCTAGCCATAGGAGAGCCACTCAGCCTCCACAGGCCCTGAAACTAGTCTTTAGTATACAAAGTTACCGGCAGTCTGTGCAACGGCATTGCTCTAGAGTGGGCATTCACACTGGATCCCACACATGCCACCAAGACCGAAGCAGCTGCAGTATGGCAACAGATTGAGAGTCCAAACCCCATCAGACTACATCCTGCCCTGGGGCTGAAAGATTCTCTATCTCCACATCCTTGGAGCCCACTGAAATCTCCCACATCCACCCAGATGACTGCAGTGGTGTGATACTGGCTAGATCTAGCAATGAGACCAGGTCCCAGCATTCTAGCCCACAAGGTGTCCTACATCCCAGGAACACGTGGTGCAGCATATTGGAGAGGCTACAGGCCAAGAGAGCATGGGATACTATATTTAAAGTGCCAAAAGGAAAAAAAAAAAAAAAACCCACACACTGGAAGCCAGTTGTATATACCCAACAAATCTATCCATCAAAAATGAAGGAGAAATATATAATGTCTTTCCCAAACACGCAAAAACTGAGGGAATTCATCACCACCAGACAAGCCCTGCAAGAAATGCTTAAGGAAGTCCTACATATCTGAAAGAGAATATATGTAGCACATGAAAGTATAAAATTAACATGTAGTATAAAACTATGAAACTCACATGTAGAGCAGATAGACAAATGAGAAAGAGAAAGGACTCAAATGTTAACACTACAGAAAACTAACAAACCACATGGATAAACAATAACAAAAAAAGAAAAAACAAAGGATACACAAAACGAACAGAAAACAATTAACAAAATGACAGGAATAAGTCCTCACCTATCAATAATAAACTTGAATGTAAACCAATTAAATTGCCCACTTAGAAGATATAGACTGGCTGAATGTATTAAAAAACATGACCCAACTATATGCTTCCAACAAGAAACACATTTCACCTGCAAGACACACATAGACTGAAAATAATAAAATAGAAGATATTAAATTGCAAATGGTAGCCAAAAGTGAGGAGTAAATATACATATATCAGATCAAACAGACGTTAAGTCAAAAATAGTAAGAGACAAAGTAGGTCTAGATATATATATATATATATAGACATATATACACATCAATTTAGCAAGAAGATGTAACATGTCAAAATATATACATACCCAACACTGGAGCACCCAGATATACAAAGAAAATACTATTAGATCTAAAGGGAAAGATAGACTCTAATATAGTAATAGTTGGGGACTTCAACACCCTACTCCCAGCATTAGACAGATCATCTAGGCAGAAATCAACAAATAAACATTGGATTTAAACTGCACTTTAGAACAAACAGGCCTAAAAAACATTTACAGAACATTTTATCCAACAGCTGCAGAATAAACATTCTCCCCATCAGCATAAGAAACATTCTCAAGGATAGATCATATGTTACTATAAAAAACAAGTCTCAACAAATTTTTAAAAATCAAAATCATATCAAGTATCTTCTCAGACCACAATGGAATAAAATTAGACATCAATAATGAGAGAGATTTCAGAAACTATACAAGTACACAGACTTAAAGAACATGCTCCTGAATGACCACTGGGGCAATTAAAAAATAAAGAAAAACATTAAAAAATATATTAACATAAGTGAAAATTAGAAAACAATATATCAAAACCTGTGGAATATAGTAAAAGCAATGCTAAGAGGGATGCTTATAGCAATAAACACCTACTTCGAAAAAATGGAAAGATGTCAAATAAACAGTTTAATTTTGCACCTGAAGGAACTAAAAAAGCAAGAACAAACCACACCCCAAATCAGTAGAAGGAAAAAAATAATAAAGTTCAGAGCAAAACTGAGTCAGAGATTAAAAATACAACACAAAAGAGCAACAAAACAAAAACTTAGGTTTTTTGAAAAGATAAAATTGATAAACCACTAGCTAGATCATCCAAGGGAAAAAAAAAAAAAAAAAGGAAAGACCTAAATAAACCACATAAACAAAATCAGATATGGAAGAGGAAACCTTACAATTGATAGCACAGAAATACAAAAGATCATCAGAGACTATTATGGACAACCATACACTAACAAGCTGAAAAGCCAGAGGAAATGGATAAATTACTGGACACATACAATCTACCAAGAAAGTCCCCCCAATAAAGAAAAGCCCCAGGACTAATGACATTACTGACGAATTCTTCCAAACTTGTAAAAAAGAACTAACATCAATTCTTGTCAAACTATTCCAAAAAACTAAAGAGCAGGAAAATCTTCCTAACTCATCCTACAAGGCCAGCATTACCCCAATACCAAAACCAAACAAGGACACAATTAAGAACATCCCTGATGAACACAGGCATAAACATCCTCAACAAAATACTAGGAAACTGAATCCAACAGCATATCCAAAAGATAATACATCATAATCAATGGGATATACCCCATGAATGCCAGGATGGTTTAACACATGTCAATCAATAAACGTGATACATCACATCGAAAGAATGAAAGATGAAAACTATATAATTATCTCAACAGACGCAGAAAAAGCATTTGATAAAATGTAACATCCCTTCACAATAAAAACTCTCAACAATTAGGCAGAGAGGAAACATACCTCCACATAATAAATGCCATATATGACAAACCCATTGCTAACATCATACTGAATGGAAAGAACATGAAAGCCTTTCCTCTAAGAACTGGGACAAGACTAGGATGCTCACTTTCACCATTTCTATTCAACATAGTACTGGAAGGCCTAGCCAGAGCAATCAGTCAAGCAAAGAAATAAAGGACATCCAAATTGGAAAAGAGAACATCAAATTGTCCCTCTTTGCAGACAACATGAGTTGACATTTGGACATACCTAAACACCCCACAAAAAACTCATATAATTAATAAATTCAGTAAGTTGGAGGATACAAAATCAACACACAAAATTTATTAATGTTTCTATAGCTGAATAATAAACTTGCTGGAAAAAAAATAAAAAGGCAATCCCATTTACAATAGCTACAAAAAATAAAAAACTTAGGAATAAATTTAACCAAAGAAGTAAAAGACCTTTATAAGAAAAATTACAAAACACTAATGAAAGAAAGAGGACACAAACAAATGGAAAGAGATACAATGCTCATAGAATAAAAGAATTTACACTGTTAAAACGACCACACAACTCAAAGCAATCTACAGATTCAGTGCAATCCCTATCAAAATACCATTAACACTTTTTCACAAAAAATAGGAAAAATAATCCTAAAATTCATATGGAACCACGCAAGAGCCTGAATAGCCAGAGCAATCCTGAGCAAAAAGATCAAAGCAGGACGTTGACTTCAAAATATACTACAAGGCTATAGTAGTCAAAACGGCATGGTACTAATGTAAAAAGAGATATATACACCAGTGAAATAGAATAGAGAACCCAGAAGTAAATCCATATATTTACAGCTAAGAGATTTGGCACAAATGTGCCAAGAACATGCAATGGGAAAAGGACACCCTCTTCAATAAATGATGATAGGAAAACTGGATATTCATTTGCAAAAGAATTAAACCTGACCCATATCTCCCACAATATACAAAAATGGACTCAAATTTGATTAAAGATTTAAGCATAAGACCTGAGACTATAAAACTACTAGAAGAAAACATAAGAGAAATGCTCCAGGACACTAATATAGGCAAAGATTGTGTGGCTAAGACCTGAAAAGCACAGGAAACAAAAACAAAAATGGGTGAGATTATATTAAACTAAAATGCTTCCGAATAGAAAAGGGAACAATTAACAGAGACAATCTGTTGAATGCGAGAAAATATCTGCCAACTATTTATCCAACACTGGACTAACATCCAAAAAATACAAGAAACCCAAACAACAGCAACAAAACAAATAATCACATTAAAGAGTAGACAAATAATTTGAGTAGACATTTCTCAAAAGAAGATACACAAATGGCCAAGATACATGAAAATGTGCTCAACGTCACTAATCACCACAGAAATACAAATCAAGACCACAGTGAGATATCTTACTGGCATCTATGCCTATTAGAATAGCTATTATCAAAAAGACAAACAAAATGCTGGAGAAGATGTGGAAAAAAGAGAACTTTTATATACTGTTGTTAGGAATGTAAGTAGTACAGCCATTATGGAAAACAAAATAAAGATTTCTCAAAAATGTAAATAATAGGATTACCATACAATAATGCTCCTAAATAACAGGATTACCACACAATAATGCTGTAATCCGATTACTAAGTATTTATACAAAGGAAAGGAAATCAGTATATCAAAGAGATACCTGCATCCTCATGTTTATTGCAGCACTAGGCAGAATGGAAAAGATATGAAATCAAGATATGAAATCAAGCTAAGTGACCATCAACAGATGAATGGATAAATAAAATACAGTATTGAAACATAATGGAATACCATTCAACTATAAAAAAAGACTGAAATCCTGTCATTTGCAGCAATATATATGGAATTGCAGATCACTATGTTAAGTGAAAAAAGCTGGATACAGAAAAACAAATATCATATATTCTCACTCATACATGGGAGCTTAAAAAGTGAATATCATGAAGGTAGAGAACAGAATGATAGTTACTAGATACTGGGAAGGGTATGTGTGGGAGGTGGGAGGGTGAAGAGAGATAGGTTAATGGGTTTAAACATATAGTTAGAGAAAAGGAATAATTTCTAGCATTTGATAGCACAGTAAAGTGACCATATTTAACAATATGTTGTACATTTCAAAATAACTAGAAGAGAAGATCTGAATGTTCTCAACAAAAACAAATGACAAATGTTAAAAGTGATGGATATCCTAAATACCCTGACTTGATCATTACACATTCTATGCATGCAGCAAAAATCACATGTACCCCATAAATATGTACAAATATTACACATCAATAAAAATTTTTTTAAAGAAAAGCTATGTTAAAAGAATCAAAATTGCTTTTCATTTGGTGGTATATTTCAAATATTATTCTCTACATCACTTAGATTTTCCTTTTGCCTACTTCACAATGTCAAACTATCTGGAGAGTTTCCAATTATCTGGAGCCTAAATTGAAAGATGGACATAAAATGATGAACTCACAAAGGAACGGAAAGAGTCAGCAGTCATACTCTCAAACATTAAACAATACATACACATAGCAATGATCAACAAAAGCTAGATAAAGTAAAAAAACTCTAGTTTTAGTATTACCTTTGACCAATTGATTCTCTTCATGGACACTTCAGGTTTATAAATTTTTTTCTGCTTCATTCCATAAGGTAGATTAAGTGATATTCCTGGGGGAGGAGGAACTCCTCCAAGGGGTGGTGGTGGAGGAGGTCCCCCAAATAAAAGTGGTGGTGGTGGTGGTGGTGGTATCCCTATCATTCCAGGTAAAGGCGGTGGTGGAGGAGGAGGAAGAGCTCCTCCAGGTAGAGGTGGTGCTGGTGGTGGTGGAGGCGGCCCTACACCTGGCAATGGAGGTGCTGGAGGAGGACCTGGAATTCCTGATGAACTTGAGAGTACTTGTGCCTGAAATATAAATAATCAAAGTTTAAATGCTTATAAAATATAATTGAAAAATTGAAGAAATATATATCAATAGATCTTTGTAGTTTATCTTATGTTTTAAGATTATATACACTTTTTTAGATATTACTAAAATATCTAAATATTTAGCAAGATCTAAGGGTTTAACAGTATATGAAAAAGACTTGTGTAGACTTTTAATAAGCATTATAAATTCTGGACAGTGACTACTTCTGTTACCATACAAATGCTAGGAAAGTTGGTATCTGATATGGTTTGGCTCTGTGTTCCCACCCAAATCGTGATCATGAGCGAGCTCTCACAAGACCTGATGGTTTTATAAGAGGATTTTCCCTGTTTGCTTGGCACTTCTCCTTGCTACTGTGACGTGAAGAAGGATGTGTTTTGCTTCCCCTTTGGCCATGACTGGAAGTTTCCTGAGGCCTCCCCAGCCCTGCAGAACTGAGTAAATTAAACTTCTTTCCTTTATAAATTACCCAGTCTTGGCCAGGTGTGGTGGCTCACGCCTGTAATCCTAACACTTTGGGAGGCTGAGGCAGGTGAATTAGCGGAGGTCAGGAGTTGAAGACCAGCCTGGCCAACATGGTGAAACCCTGTCTCTACCAAAAATACAAAAATTAGCCTGGCATGGTGATGCATGCCTGTAATCCCAGCTACTCAGGAGGCTAAGGCAGGAGAATCGCTTTAACCCAGGAGGCAGAGGTTACAGTGAGCTGAGCTTGCACCACTGCACTCCAGCCTTGGTGACAGAGGGAGACTCCGTCTCAAAGAAATAATAAAATAAATAAATAAATAAATAAATTACCCAGTCTCAGGTATTTCTTTATAGCTGTGTGAGAACAGACTAATACAGTAAATTGGCACTGGATAGTGGAGTGCTTCTGTAAAGACACCCAAAAATGTGGAAGCAATTTTAGAACTGGGTAACAGGCAGAGGCTGGAATAGTTTGGAGGACTCAGAAGTAGATAGGAAAATGTGGGAAAGTTTGGAACCTCCTACAGACTTGTTGAATGGCTTTAACCAAAATGCTGACAGTGATATGAACAATAAAGTCCAGGCTGAGGCGGTGTCAGATGGAGATGTAAAACTTGTTGGGAACTGGAATAAAAGTCACTCTTGCAATGCAAAGAGACTGGTGGCATTTTGTCCCTGCCCTAAAGATCTGTGGAACTGTGAACTTGAGAGAGATGATTTAGGGTATCTGGCAGAAAAAATTTGTAAGTGGCAAAGCGTTCAAGAGGAAGCAGAGCATAAAAGTTTAAAAACATTTGAAGACTGACAATGCAGTAGTAAAGAAAAATCCATTTTCTGGGGAGAAACTCAAGCCCTCTGCAGAAATTTGCATAGGTGATGAAGAGCCAAATGCTAATCACCAAGACAATGAGGAAAATGTCTCCAGGGCATGTCAGAGACTTTCATGGCAGTCCCTCCCATCACAGGCCTGGAGGCCTAGGAGAGAAAAACTGTTTCCTGTGCCAGGTTCAGGGCCCTCCCACTGTGTGCAGTCTCTTTGATGCCCTGCATCCCAGCCACCTCAGCCATGGATAAAAGGAGTCATGGTACATCTTGAGACATAGCTTTGGAGGGTGTAAGCCCCAAGCTTTGGCAACTTCCACGTGGTGTTCAGCCTGCAGGTACACAGAAGTGAAGAACTGAGGTTTAGGAAACTCTGCCTGGATTTTAGAGGATGTATGAAAACGCCTGGATGTCCAGGCAGAAGTTTGCTGCAGGGGCGGAGCCCTTATGGAGAATCTCTGCTAGGGCAGTGCAGAAGGGAAATGTGGGGTTGGAGCCCTCACACAGAGTCCCCACTGGGGCATTGCCTAGTGGAGCTGTGAGAAGAGGGCCACCATCCTCCAGACCCCAGAATGGCAGATCTACTGATGGTTTGCACCATGTGCCTGGAAAAGCCACAGGCACTCAACACCACTTTGTGAAAGCAACCAGGAGGGGAGCTGCACCCTGCAAAGCCACAGGGGCAAAGCTGCCCAAGTTTGTGGAAACCCACCTCTTGCATCAGCATGTCTTGGATATGAGACATGGAGTCAAAGGAGATCACTTTGGAACTCTGAGGTTTAATGACTGCCCTACTGGATTTCAGACTTGCATGGGGTCTGTAGCCCCTTTGTTTTGGCCAATTTTTCCCATTTGAAATAGGTGTATTTACCCAATGCCTGTATCCCCATTGTATCTAGGAAGTGAGTACCTTTTGATTTTACAGGTTCATATGTGGAAGGAACATAACTTGTCTCAGATAAGACTTTGGACTTGGACTTTCGGGTTAATGCTGGAATGAGTTAAGACTTTGTGGGACTGTTGGAAGGGCATGATTGTGTTTTGAAATGTGAGGACATGAGATTTGGGAGTGGCTAGGGGCGGAATGATATGGTTTAGCTCTGCATCACCATCTAAATCTCATCTTGAATTGTAATAATCCCCATGTGTCAAGGGCAGGATCAGGGGAGATAACTGAATAACAAATAATTGATAATTCTTGAGTTATCATGAGATCCAATGGTTTTTTAAGAGGCTTTTCCCTTTTTGCTTGGCACTTCTCCTTGCTGCTGCCATGTGAAGAAAGATGTGTTTGCTTCCCCTTCCACCATGATTGTAAGTTTCCTGAGGCCTCCCCAGCTCTGCAGAACTGTGAGTCAATTAAACCTCTTCCCTTTATAAATTACCCAGTCTCAGGTATTTCTTCATAGCAGTGTGAGAAAGGACTAATACAGTATCCTCCAAGATTTCTGAAATACTCCTCTAAAATAATGAAAAATTAACTTTCTTTATAAATACATGCAAAAAAGAAGTACAGTATATGGCTTGGGCCAGTTAGATTAGTTGGGTTTGAATATGGGATAATAAATACAAGGTTAGAGATTCAATTTCCTTGGGGGCTAATTAGCTTTATACAAAGAGTCTGTTTCATGGCTCTAGTAACTTAGCTGGCTTCTAACACCAATAATAAATACTCAATAGCATCCATTTCCATAGTAATATATGCTTATCAACATTTTTACATTTATTATTTCTTTTGATCCTTATTATAACCCTGTAATACAGATAAAGCATTATTATCTCACCTTTATTTCACTGCTTAAAGATGAGGAAACTGTTAGCTGCAAAAAAAGTTAAATGACTAACCAAAAGTTTCAGAGTCTGAACATGATTAGAATTTCAATGTCGTTCTTCTCACATCCAATACCATCCTCATTCCAATATAAAAGACTGTCTCTTCATGAATGGGTGCCATTTACAATGAGTACAATTAATTCAAATAGATAGGATTATGAGGAGGATATAACATTTCTATCACAAAGTAACTTCAAGCTCATTCTCTAATGACAATGCATAACAGATGAAAGGGAACATTGCATGCCATATCACGTTCTTTTCAGAGATGATTAATCTATATCCATTCCTTAAACCATTACTGAGCACAATGGTTCACTTTGCTAAATAAATATATGAGAAAAGTAGAGCTGTTCATTATAAACATTCTTATGAAACCACTACCAATGAACATACATCTGTTTTAATCAAGATATGACATTAGATTAACTGAATGAAACGTTTAAAACTAATTAAGGCAGTCATGGCAGCCATGAGTTTTTTGCAACAGGCCTCAGTCACTGAAGTGGCAACTCTCTGGCCAGTGCCTTGACACTCCACTGGGATTCAGCGGCTTCCTCACCCATGGCTCTGTTAAAGCTGTCACTCCTGTTTAACACAGTGGAGACCATGAGAAAAGACTATTTATCATGAAACCTTCTGGATACTACAATAGGTGTTTTTTGAATTTATTGAAATTCTACATTTTGTTTACAGGGATTCCAGTGGCAATTGACGAAACTCTAGTGAATGTATTCATTGGTGAAACTGAACTAGTAGAAATTCCAGAAGGCTATATCCCAGAACAATGGGAATATTATAAGCATCCTATATTGAAATGGATTGTCCATATTTTCTATGATGATCCTGAAAATAATTACAAAAGAACAATGGCTATCCTTCAGACTGAAACTGAAAAGGCTGAACTGCAGATAAAGGAGCTGGAAGTACGAAGATTAATATAGAAGAGAAGAGATGGACCCTGGTATCAATATCTGACCACTGATAGGGCAATTATGGATCATTCTCCAAAAGCAACTCCCAGTAAATAAGCATTTATTTCTCTAAATACAAAGTGTATTCTCTTTAGTGGAAAATGAATTAGTAAATATATTCTGTAGTTTTGTTCCTTGTGATGAATAAAAGAGCTTCTTACATTACTCTGTTTCTCAATGTTGGTTCATATTAAAGCTTTTAATATATTCTGTATTTCTTTTCCCTGTGATGAATAAAAGAACTTCTTACACTACTCTATTTCTCAATGTTGGTTCATATTAAGGTTTCGGATTTGGAGGTTTTGGTTTCCTCTTTTAAGAAAGTTTAAAATGTACTAATGAAAAACTGCAGAAATAGGAATTTGTGAACTCCTACAGTTGTGGTAACTTTGAGAGGTGTTTTATTTACCTGACAAATGGAAGTTATAGAAGTCTAATTATATTAGGTATCAGTAATTGTAGTAGTTTGTACAAATGTCTGTATTACAGACATCTGTATTATTGAGGGGAAATTCAGGATTTTAAGTTCCATAAAATATTGAACTAACTCTGTAAAACATTAACAACTTAATAAACAAATTTTCAGTGAACAACAAAAAAAGTTAATTAAATTTCTTGGGATAGTGTCCTTTTTGTCCTCATTCTTTCATTCATTCATTCAGAGACAGTCTTGTTCTGTTGCCCAGGCTGGAGTGCAGCGGCAAAATCATAGTGCATTGCAGTCTTGAACTCCGGGACTCAAGTGATCCTCTCAACTCAGCCTCCTGACTAACTGGGACTACAGGCATGCACCACTAACCTAGGCTAATTTTTTTTCTTTTTTTTTAAAGATGGGGTCTTGCTATGTGACCCAGGCCAGTCTCAAATTTCTGGACTCAAGGAATCCTCCCATCTTGGTCTCCTGAAGTGCTGGTATTAAAGGCAAGAGGCACTGTGCCTAGTCCTCTCACTTTTATTAATATAAATTTTCTACTTGGATTATTTAGTTGTTCTAACTAAATTTATAAATATCTTTATTTATTTATTTTACTTTATTTTATTTTTGAGACAGAGCTTTGCTCCTGCTGCCCAGGCTGGAGTGCAGTGGTACAATCTCAGCTCACTGCAACCTCCGCTTTCCGGTTTCAAGCTATTCTCCTGCCCCAGACTCCCGAGTAGCTGGGATTACAGGCGCCTGCCACCACGCCCGGCTAATTTTTGTATTTTTAGTAGAGGCGGGGATTCACCATGTTGGCCAGGCTGGTCTAGAACTCCTGACCTCATGATCTGCCCACTTCAGCCTCCCAAAGGGCTGGGATTACAGGCGTGAGCCACCGTACACGGCCATACATATATTTAGAAAGCAAATTGAAGCAAATTTTTGGAACAACCAGTTAAAAGGACTAACCTATTTACAAAAATATTAAAGCTAACACTCATAGGTAGACAAGATCATGGAAAGGTTACCCATAATATTCACTCACACTAGTTTGTTCACATAGATGAATGTTAATGTATGTATATACATACATACAACTAAAGTGTTTCTATGCTTAGCAAATGACCATCCTCTCCTGGAATGCAATTCTCTCTGAGGTGAAAGAAAGACAAGATTAAAATACGTAAAATTATTTTAATTTTACTTTTAAAGTAGCAAAACTATAGAAAACAGTCTGATTTTATAGTCTTAACTGAGACAAAAGTAACTGTGGCAAAATTAAAGGTTCAGAAAATTAGTAATTTATCCTACAAATTTTGTGTATGAAAGGATATTTTTCATACTTTGAAAGGCAAAATGTGTGTCCCATTTTTTAATTAATGGACAACATAATTCAAAGTAATACACATTTGTAAACATTATTCAATTTTTCACCTCTATTAGATCATATTTATTCTCGGAATTTTATACAACCACAAAATGCTACTATTTAAATAAAATTTTACTCAAGTTAAATATATATTTTACAAATTTAATAAGGAATCTCAAATATTTACATTAAATGCTACCAGCCTTTAAAAATCAAATTATATCAGCCTTTCCTTTGCTTCCCATGAACAATTAGGAATTGAATAATTAAATTAGGCTACCACATCGTATTGTGAATTGAATATGGTAAATGAATAATTTAGTATTTGACATTATTTTGGGCACACTAGAAAGCATACAGCCCTGTGCCTGCACCTGTAATCCCAGCTACTCCTCAGGAGGCTAAGGTAGGAGGAATGCTTGAGGCCAGGAGTTGAGAGTGCTTCGTGATTCTGCACTTTTTACAGTTAATTTAACCATAAGTAAGCAACTACTCACTGTGTGGTAAAGGCCTGTGCGAGGTACATTGGGGCCTTCAATAAGAAATACACTGTCCTCAAGGTGTCTATGCTCTAGCAGAATAGAGCAGGCACACAAGTATCCCATGAGTGGTCTAGAAAAGTGATATGAAAGTTCAGAGAAATTCGCTAATGGAGTTTTTGGTGAAGCTTTCCAAACGATGTCTTAATGAGCTTCTCCTTAAAGGATATGTTTCACATACACAGATGAGCAAAGGAGGGAATTTCTGACAGATAATAATATATGCCAACATTTCGCTACTAAGCTCTATGAAAACACTATTTCCTGGAGATGTTGAAGGGTGCTCTGAGATAAAAGGTGCCATGGTCAAATGAGTATGGGAAATCGATATGAAAAAGAGGTAGGCAGGTTTCTTCAATGTAAAATATCTGGAACTTTTAATATGCTAATGAGTATTATGAATCTCCAAGATGAGAACATGTGTACTCAATTTATAGGACTATGGAATGCTTTCGTCATGAACAACCTATCGTCATTTCTGTAACTAATCTCTGGGAAATGCTGGCAGAAGGGTTAAGTATGGAGACAGTAATTTCCAAATGTGAAGGGAGGAAAGGTGACTTAGCTGCAACAGAGGCCGTAGTTAGGGGAGCAGTGAGAGCCCAGGCTGCAAAGGGGAGATAAGGGAGGAAAAACCCATGCCAGAGGGTCTTTAACATTCCTGGTAAGGAGATTTTATTTAATCCTGACTGCAATAGGCAACAAGTGAACATATTAAAGCCTGGAGTGACAATAATCAGGGAATTGTTTCAGGAAGATTAATTTGCCACTGACATAAAGGGTGAATTTGAGGAGGGAAAAAAGTTAGGCAACAATTGTAATAGTCCAGACGAGACATCATAAGAGAGTGAACCTGGAGGTTTCTGGGTTTTGATGCAAAAAGGTGTAGTATGAGTGGAGTTGAAGAAAGAACAGACATAAAACAGTGACTAGCTTAATTTGTCAGTGGGTGGGGCAAGGAAAAGGGAAAGAAAACTCCAGCTTCACCATCTTTAAAATTGGTAGTAAAATTTAAATAGGAATGGACAACAAACTGGTTTGAGGAAAGAGAGAAAACCACAAAACTGGGTTTGATTTCAACATGCAACAGGACCATCCTATGGGGCCAGCTAATCAAGAGCTGGAATTAGAAGACAAACTCCAGAGACTTGACACTTGCTAAAAGGGGATATGTGAATGTATAACACTGAATGGAATAGTACAGCAAAAAAAAAACCACACACACAGAAAAGAGCAGAAGACAGAATATTGTGGAAGGTCACCATATGAGGATGAAAAAATAAGGAGAAACTAAGTTCTCAAACATGTAGAAAAAGAAGTCCAAGAAAAAGGGAGGGAAAGAGACAGAGAAAGAGATTGATTTATTGAAAATAAATGATCAAATATTAGAGATAAGTAATACAGGCTAAGGGAAGGAAAAGGCCCCTGGATTGGGTATTTTGGAGTTTGTTGGTGACTTTTGAAGTAACCTTTCACTAGATTGGTGGAAACAGACCTAGTCAGTCAACAAATATCTACTGAGCACCCACTATGTTAAGACATAATCTTCAATTTCTTTGTTTTTTTTGTTTTTTTTGTTTTTTGAGACAGAGTCTCACTCTGTCACCCAGGCTGGAGTGCAGTGGCGTGATCTCAGCTCACGGCAAGCTTCGCCTCCTGAGTTCTCACCATTCTCCTGCCTCAGCCTCCCCAGTAGCTGGGACTACAGGAGCCCACCACCATGTTTGGCTAATTTTTTTTTTTTTTTTTGTATTTTTAGTAGAGACGGGGTTTCACAGTGTTAGTCAGGATGGTCTTGATCTCCTGACCTCGTGATCTGCCCGCCTCAGCTTCCCAAAGTGCTGGGATTACAGGCGTGAGCCACCGTGCCCGGCCCATCTTCAATTTCTTAATATTCATTTAAGACATAAAGTATATTGAGGAGAATACACAATCAGTTTGAAAGTTTAGACACCCTAATTGAAATTTTAAGTATATATGGGAGCTCTTCACCATAGGGAATGTAGGTGGAAATTTACTTGAGATTCAAAGAGATCTCCAGAGAAGCTTTTGGCATAATTACAATTAATGACTATTTCTACATTCTTTTTGAAAGAAAATAGTATGTACCCAATTTTTCAAATCATCATGAAAATTTCATCTCAAAAACACTTTTGCTTGTGTAATATATTCTGTTAAAAATATTCCAGGCCATTTGAGCAACTAATGCTTTATTTTTTTTCCAAGCATTAAAATGATTTATTGTCCTGGAATATAAAATCTGTAGAGTTATTTCAATGAAAATGTAAAACTGCCAAAAAGTCTGCTTCTGGTCACATTTTTCCTTCTATCTAACAAGACAATTTTCTACCATCGAACTCGCTGTGACATGACACAAAGTCTGTATCTTCTTTCATTACCTGGGTTCGAAGTTGCTGGATTTCTGCTTCAAGTTCTTTGATTTTCTCATCTCTTTTTTGAAGCTCTGCTTGAGCTTCCTGTCGAGCTGTGAATTCTTCATCGAACTGCAATGATCACCACCATCAATGTACAGTTAATAATATAGTTTTGAGAAAGCTTTAAAGAACATTATGTATTAAATAAGATTTACTTAGTTGAATTCCCAGATCACTCAGAAAATCACAGCTTGTAATTATTTTCATAACAATTAAGTATCCAAGTGGAGGTAGGGTATTGCTTGTGGCGGTAGTAAAGAAGAAATATGCCCCCTACCCAAGGTAAGAAAACACATTTTCACTTCTGAAAAAAAATACAAAGACGAAAAGGTAGACTGAAAAGTCTCTCTTCCCACATAATGGACATTTTTATTGTTCTGTTATTGAAAATTCAATTTTAGAATTAATAATTTTGAAAATATTTTATCCCATACTTTTTTTTTTTTTTGAGACAGAGTTTCACTCTTGTCGCCCAGGCTGGAGTGCAGTGACATGATCTCAGCTCACTGCAACCTCCACCTCCTGGGTTCAAGCAATTCTCCTGCCTCAGCCTCCCAAGTAGCTAGGATTACAGGTGTGCACCACCACACCTGGCTAATTTTTGTATTTTTAGTAGAGATGGGGTTTCACCATGTTGGCCAGGCTGCCCTTGAACTCCTGACCTCTGGAGATCCACCCGCCTTGGCCTCCCAAAGTGCTGGGATTACAGGCGTGAGTCACCATGTGTGGCCTCATCCCATACTTCTAAGTTTACTGAATTAGAAAATGACATCTAAAAATAAACCATCAAGCAGTTTCAACTCCTTAACTATATTTAATCTTGAAAATAAATTACGCTTTTAGAATGCTCAAATGTATGTATATTAATACAAATTGGAATTATTTCTATTGCAATCTTAGTTGTCTAGAATCCATAAAGCAGTACTTCACAAACTCTGACAGCAGAATGCCCTAATAGCAGTCTCATTCAGATGGTTAACCAAAACATTCGTATAGCATGTTATGAGAGGAAAAACTACAGGTTAAAATAAGGGATGCTAAGCCCAAAAGACTCTGAATGGTTAATATTTATTCACTGTATCCTGCCTTAGCCTTACCTCAGACAGGGTTCTAAGCAGGCACAAACCTGCCTGCATATTTCCAGTGACTACTGCCTGGGTCTGGCTATAGAACATTTTATTTGCCCTTTATTGTCAATGTTGTTTCAAGTCAATTTAGAAGTCTATACATTATTCTAACAATGTTATTTCTATTTCTAAAAGTGATACATCTTACTGCCCAAAACCATCTTAGAGTTTGCGGAACAATACAAAAGTATGTTTAGTGTTAACAAATATTCATCCTCATAGTAGCTTTGACCTTTGGAAATTATAAAATGCCATTCTGATCTAAGTCTGAAGAGTAGGTGAGCAAACTGGATAATAATACTCTTTGAGTCGAACCTGAAATGCTTTTATTCATCTCTCCTTGAATCCCTGGAAATTGTCCCACAGATCCTGGTCCAAATATTCTCTAATTTCTTTAAATTTCAAACCTACCCCAGATCCTTGGAGGGAAGGATCCATATATACTTCAGTCAATGACCTTGTTTTCCTACCTCATTAAGAAGATGGATGTCCTCCAATGTGAGCTTGTTTGCCTTTACTACTATCCGTGTTAAGATTTATCGCAATCTGTACTCCCATCCCCACTCCTAAAGTTAGCTTCTCCTATGTGCTTCTAAATCATGGCACCTACACGAGCACACTATACACATTTCTAGTATGTTGGAGGAGAGGCACACAGTGTTTCTGCTTTTAATTTAAAATTACCTTAATCTGCAAACACAGCAAATGGGGATCACAGAAGCCTGAAATATGTGAGCTGGAAGAGGTCTTCTTACAAGTCCACTAATTTTATGCTTTCCTTTTAATGATGAAGAAACTAAGATCTAAAGAGAGTAAGTGGCTTACCCAAAGTCACAGCTAATTAGTGGAAAAGCTGAGATCAGACCTCACAACTACTGCCTCTCATTCTAGCACTTGTTAAAAAATGACTTTATACAGCCTCTTAAAATGACCCAGAACAAGGGGATGCATGTAACTAACCACTGGGAGACCATACAGGTTTTCATTCTAAATGTTGGTGACGAAACTAAAGCATCAAACACTGAAATTTCTTTTCTATTACTTCAGGACTCCTTTTTCCATAATACATATGCTCACAAAAAAACTTTACCATACAGATAGTCACAATTTGCTCCAGTCTTGTAGTATGTAATCACAGTGCCAGCCAAAACTTAAGGAGATTCTAAGGTTTTCAAAGGGAATTTTAAATGTGCTGCTTAAAACAAGAACGTTAGAAATATAAAGGTCTATTAATCAAAAAGCATGCATTTTCTTTCACCAATAAAAATGACAGCTCCACACAAACATTTTATGCTCAAGCTCTTAAAATCTATTCTAGTAACTGAAAGAGCAAAGACATTTCTTCAGATGCCCTGAAGTAACTTCTTCAGTAATACTCTATAATTTCTAAAGTGATAGCAAAAGTGATTATCTAATCTCCAAGGTAAGTCATAACTTTGAAGAGACAGCAATATGTAAGCACATTATCTTGCTGTCAGAAGGCTGAAAACTGGAGCTTTTAGACGTGTGCTTCAATCCTTCTGCCTGCACCCAACAGGAGAGAAATACTATGCTAATGCTTAATAGGCTCTAGAACAGAAAAAGAGAAACTTGTGGTAGAAGCTAATAAAATTATAGCTATGCTTCCATGAAACAAGGAAAAGACAAGCTTAGATCTGAATACAATTCAGATATTCATAAAGCTGGCATTTACTCAAAGGCATTTAAGACATTAACACAGAAAGAAAAGGGATCCTCAAATTCCACCAGGCCTACATGAAGTAGCAGCATCATTTACAAAATGATAATTACAAAATTCAAAGAAGCTAAGTCTAAACAGAGAGAGAAAGAGAGTGAGAAAGAGAGAAAACACTGCAACATGTTATTGCTATCAATAGCACTGACATAAAAGACCACAACAGAAAAGACTGGCTAAACATCTCACAGTTCTCCAAAGAGCTACCTACTGCAAGTGACAGCTGCAGGAAAGCAATGGGAGAATTTATTTTGGTTGATTGCTTCCAACTATACCCTTTCAGCAATGTAATTTGATTTCATGTATCACTTTAGTATAATGTGGCTAGTGTTTTTCTTCCATAATGGATTAGGAGAGAACAATAGTAACCTTACCTTATAAGGAGATAAATCAATATTCCATGGCTATGTTTGAATCCAAAAATATAAAGTACTACATAAATGAAACATTTAGAAGGCCTCACATTAATAAAGAAAGTAGAGTATTACTGTGATTAAATTATTAACTTAACGATTATGGCTAATACTTTATAAGCTTACCTTCTTTGAAAACTCTGCAGCTCTTTGTTCACTTTCTTCAACTTTCGCCTTGTTCACACAAGAATCTATTAAGATCAACCAAAAGTGATTCAAAATTATGGCATGAGATCACTAGACAAAAGATGTCTTCTAGCCTGTAACTCTGCAATGCAGACTATCATTTTTACGTCAATTGTTACTAAATGGAAATTGACCTATACTACACACAAAACATAAATATCATATATTCTTTCTTTAGCATACTAACTGAATTCAATGATAGTATTGTGGAGGCACAAAACTAAGCATCCATAAACATATCTTATTAAATTATTTTTATGGGTATTCAATTATTTTTCAACTATAAAACACTTCAAAACACCATAGTTTATTATGGGTGGAGAGGTGGCAAAGACTCCATGTTTAACCTTAATAATGTTAATAAGATATGAATAGTCTTAGTAAGATTCAAAACTGTCTCACGAAAAAGCTAGAGAGAGACAGAATAATATTCGATAATTCAGGCTTCTTCTTGAAAAGATTTTTACTTAACTTCTGATCTGGGGCAAAATGTATCATGTACATAAGGAAACAGACTTCAGACTTCTCAGGTCAAATCAAACACTTCAGAATATAAATAACTGAAGAACAACTTTTGGGCAATATTGTATCTCTCATTATTTTACGTATATATAAACTCTATTCTGAAGCCATTCTACATTTATTTATCAAAAAGAAATAAAAATATATACCAGTACCCAGAATTGTATGTGAATATTCACAGCAGTTTTATTTATAGTAATCCCAAACTGGAAAGAACCTAAATGACTATCAACAAGGGTATACATAAACAAACTGTGGTATATCCATATACTGGAATACCACTCAGCAATATAAAGGAATGAACTATTGATACAGGCAATACAACAACATGAATGAATCTCAAAATAATTATGCTGAAGGCAAGAAGACAGGCAAAAAGTGTATATGCTGTATGTTTCTATTTTTATAAAATTTTTTAAAGTGCAACTAATAAGAGAGACTATAAAATGTAACTAGTAAGAGAGAGATCAGTAATATCCCAGGATGGGAAGATGTGGTAGACATGGAAAGAAAGAACTAAAAGGACAATGCAGAAACTTTAGGGTGTAACAGAATTATTATCCCGACATTGATGATGGTTTTAAGTGTCTATATTAATAGCAAAATTTATCAAATTCTATACCTTAAATATGGGTAGTTTTTCTTACATCAAATGTACCTCAATAAAGCTGGTTTATTTGTTTAAAGCAACTGAGGAGGAAAGTAGGAAATGATGAAGTCAAAGAACAGCCATATCTAAGCTGTGCTAGTCACGGTTGGTAATGATTTTGAATTTAAATTTCAATGGAAAGGCATCAGAGAGTTTTAGGCAGAGATCTGATACGATTTGATTTATGAAAGATATCAGACTTAAAGAATTGTGACATCACAAGAGACTCTAATCTCTTCAGGTCCGAGTCATCTTAAAATACAGATCCATGGATTTCCTAGAAGTTCTTGAAGCACCTAATTTTTGTGTATATGAACTTATGTGTGTTCTAATCAAAGTTTCAAGCATTTGTCAACTTCTCACAAAGGATTTTGACCATAAAATATTAAGAGCCACTCATATATGTGACTTACTCAATTTTAAAGTTGAGGAAACTAAAACCTAGAGAAGTTAAATGATTTGTTCACAATCACAGAGATGACAGGTGGATAACATCACAATGGGTTTATGATGCCGACTATCCTCTCTCACCTGATCCCTTCATCTCTCCTCACCCAACACTTTTGATTAATGATAAAGAATCATAGTACCTGGTACACAGCACACAAAACAAACGCCTGTTGAATACTGACTACTACTTGACTAAATTATTATTTTTACAGGTATTCAATTATTTTTCAACTATAAAATACTTCAAAAAACTATAGTTTATTGTGTGAGAGGTGACAACAACTCCATGTTTAAGATTAATAAGATCAAAATCAACAGTAGCATGTGTGTCCTAACTATGGTCTATAATGGATTATAAGCTAATACACGTATTTGAAAATAGTCCTTTATGACTCCTTCAACAAAATGCAAAATAAACTTGTGTTTCAAACTCATTGAAAAATATGCAATGAGGCTAGAATTCACATTCACTGCTGGGTAAATTAGCACAAGCTTTCTGAAAAGCATTTGGCCTTTGAAAGTTCATACTCTCACGGAAATCAATCCTAAGGAAATAATGAGAAAAAGACAAACATTTATATACAAGGATGTTGACAGTACATTCATTTATAACTGCGAAAATCTAAAAACAATTGTGAATGCACAAAAAGAAAGGACTGGTTGCAATGGTTATAGTATTTCTCAAAATGGAATATTACACAGACATCAAAAGTCACATTTTGAAGGTTAATATGGAAAAACTCTCATAATATAACACTCCAAGAAAAATCAGCATTCAGAGAGATAGATAGGTCATAGAGAAAGAGATATAAGGAAATGTACCAAGCTGAAAAGGGAGCGATGACGAATGTGATTGGTGGTTTGTCACTTACATAAGTCTCTATATTGCCTGATAAGTACGCATTAATTTAAAACAGAAATAATACATAAATAATAAGTTATCCATCTTTGAATGTTACTGTATATCTGCCTTGTGCTATGGAATAAAAAATAATATGTAATTGGCATACAATAGCTTTTGTTTTCTTTAAAAATAAGACAAATAAGTTCATGCTTGAACCTTAACGATAGTGATTCCAATTAAGTATAAATAAGACTACTTAGCTACAAGGCTAGATAGCATAGCACACTTCACAAGGGAAGGTTCAGATCATCCTTCAGAGGTTGTTCTGAAAAGTATTGCTAACTACCAGTCTAGGATGATATAAGGAGCAATCTAAGGAGATGAATATGATCACCTCAAATTCTTTCTAACTCTAAGGTCTATGAAAATATAAATTGATCCATTTGAGAGCCTTAGAAGGTCTCAAGTTATTGAAATGAGCCTGTATTTCTTTTCTAAAACTTGAGCATTAATAACATAACTATAATGAGACCCCACTGTATTTCTACAAGACCACTAAAGTACCAGTATAAAATGAAAAGATTTCAGAGTCGTGTTTCTAAATAGTAATGCATTCATCTATGAGAGTATAATGGGTTCTTGTGGGACACTAAGCTTAAACTACCTCCAGGAGTGTTGGAACTTATTAAATACGTTAATATTTCTTTCTTTTTTTTTTTTTTTTAGAGACAGTCTCGCTCTGTCACCCAGGCTGGAGTGCAGAGGTACGATATCGGCTCACGCAAGCTCCGCCTTCCGGGTTCACGCCATTCTCCTGCCTCCACCTCCGAGTAGCTGGGACTACAGGCGCCCGCCACCAGGCCTGGCTAATTTTTTTGTGTGTTTTTGTAGAGACGGTGTTTCACCGTGTTAGCCAGGATGGTCTCAATCTCTTAACCTCGTGATCCGCCCACCCCGGCCTCCCAAAGTGCTGGGATTACAGGCATGAGCCACCGTGTCCGGCCCCCTAAATAGGTTAATATTTCTAATCACACAGGCAGAACTCTCATGATCATTATAATTAACAATTATAGCAATTGAGTGCCCACAGACACAATGATTTACCAGATATGAATAGAAGTTCAGTAAGAACTGAAACTTCTTACTGAACTTCTTCACTTAAAAAGTGCTTATAATACAGAAGGCATAAAACGCAATCAGAGGACAATGAGGATTATGATACGTACCTATCAGGTGAGTGAAATCGATGTCTAATCGTTGCCTGTACTTGAAGTCTGGATCCATACCACTGCAGTGTAGCACTATCTGTGAAACGCATTCCTCAATTATTTTATAATATTGTGGCCTGAAAAAGAGAGAAAGTATTCATGAATGCTTTTCTATCCATGCAAATCAATTTTCTTTAGAAGACATTCAACGTATTAGAAGAACTAGGTCTTTTTCTGGAGTTGTTTTAAAAATCCAGCAGCCACTACACTTCCTTAGGACAGGTATGCCTAAGCTTAGGGATGGTCTGGCTGTTACAGTACCAAACCCATTGTGATGTAATCAACTACATCTAGTGACTTCATAATCTAGTTTGCAGGGATTCAAGCTTGTGTTCAAAGATACTTATCAACCTTTTCTATTTACTTATGCTATTTTTTCTAAAGTTAATAAAAACAAATGAGCTGTTAGTCCTACATTAATGGATACAGAAATGGTTCTACGCATCCACAGGTTCTCAATTTAAATATGGGATGAGTTTCTTCTCATTACGTGGCAAGCAATGTGTTGAATTTACTACAGCACTTTTAGTCAAGATAGCTATAAAGGCTTACAAAACTGGACAGAGCCACTTATATTACAAGACTATCCAAGGATCTATTTATGCAACACATTTTAAAAGACCCATTTTATAAAAGCATACACACTTAATATGCATGGCTATTGCTTCAATTTGTTTAAAGTGTCAGAGGTTTTAAAATATGTCCTAATTCTGTAATCTATCAAGGTAATTCTGGCCTTAAAAATGACCATTCACATACTGCAAAATTTTTTAAAAGGCACTTTTGCATTAAAATTTGGGTAAGATTTAGTATTTGTTAGAGGATAATAAATTTAACAGAGAAAAATCAGTAGTAAGAAGTATGACTATAGGGCCGGGCGCGGTGGCTCAAGCCTGTAGTCCCAGCACCTTGGGAGGCCGAGACGGACGGATCACGAGGTCAGGAGATCGACACCATCCTGGCTAACACGGTGAAACCCCGTCTCTACTAAAAAATACAAAAAACTAGCCAGGCGTGGTGACGGGCGCCTGTAGTCCCAGCTACTCGGGAGGCTGAGGCAGGAGAATGGCGTGAACCCGGGAGGCGGAGCTTGCAGTGAGCTGAGATCTGGCCACTGCACTCCAGCCTGGGTGCCAGAGCGAGACTCCGTCTCAAAAAAAAAAAAAAAAGAAGTATGACTATAGAAAAATTACAATATAAACTTCCCTAAATATAATGTGCTGATAACTAGCCAACCTACTAAAAGTTTGTAAATGAAGCCAAATAGACTCTAATTGCTCTTCCATGTCTTTAGTAATGGGTCTGGTCCCAAGAATAAGAATAAATAGTAATACATATTACACATCTGGGTTTTTTCAAGTCATCATCAGGTCTAGAGTAAATAATACTGGATTACAACCTCAGTCTAGTCAATAAATAAGGAAAATACAGCTGTTCCCTTTCAAGCCAGGTTAATCATCCCTAAGTGGAATAAAATGCTTGTCACACTTCTGCCTCACATGGATGTTCTTAGGATGAAAAACATGCCATATAAGAATGACTTCTTACTTATTCATAGTTGCTGAGAAATGGATACTTTCACATAAATGATGTTCCCCAGCTAACTGAGTACCTGTGGGCACAGTACCCCTTTTAAATTTGTTAGAACTTAATTAAAAATACAATAATTTTTAACGTATTAGCAGCCTTGCTGTTTAAAAAACAGCACAAAATTTACTATTTTAAACATTTTTTATGTCTCTGTCATGTCACAATGTCCATCAAATTATTGTACTGGTCTGAACTATAATAGTTTTCTATGCTGCTTTACAGTTATAATTTTTGTTGAGACTGTGCTGACCTCATGGTAGCTTTCCTTTTCCCTTTAATCAAGCAGGTTTTAAGAAATCAAAGAACCCAGATTGTCAGAATTTCACGCAAATTAGAGTATGAAGAACAACTAAGAGTCTCTTTAACAGTTAAATATAATATCATGGTCACCAGCCTGTGGATAATTTCAGTCACTCAGAAGCCTTTTCATAGCTTTCTGGTTTTCCGATATATTCCCATTTAACTAGATTTTAAAACTTTTAACTTTAGTGGTTATTATCATACTCATTTATTTTGAAGGATGATATTACTAGACATAAAATTGAAATATTAGCACTATTATTTTCTTAGATATTAAGATCACATTTATTCGTAGATAAATACTGTAAAAAGAGAAATAACAGTAAAATCTTACTTAATATGCACAAGATAAAACCTTTAAAGTTCTACCCCAGAATCTTCAGTGCTTTTTCTGTGATATCATTATCTAGAAAAGAAAATTCATTGCAGGGCCAGTGCAGTCTGTTGGGTTCATTCCTACCAAAGTCCTATCACTGGAGTACCCATTTTTAAAAGTGCATCGCTCTCTTCTGGCCAAATTTTAAAAAATGAACACCTTTTAGAAAATGTTATCTAAAGGAATCAAACTGTTATACCCTCTGTGTATATATATGCATATATTGCATAGGCCCCACTACATTGTTCATTTTCCTTTAATACCCAATTCAAATTATAAATATAGTACTCTCAGAACTGCCTCTTACCTGATATAATAATCATTTCTGATGAGCAAAAAATGTTGTAGAATGGATAAGAAGTAATTTTCAGCAGCAGTGTCCTTCAGCATATTATACAGAAGATGGTAGACTTCATTCATATCAGTAGAAAGTAAAGGAAAAATATTAAAGATTCTTGGTGGGAGTCTCATTTATAACAAAGGAGTTTAACTTTGTAAAACATCGACTTACAATCTTGCTTCCATTACTATTTCTAAACCTTCAACTCTATGATCCAGTACTTAAACATCTGCATAAAGTAATGATTCTATGGAATCATTTTGATCTTTTAACTAGAGAGACAGACCTCAAGAGCATGTCCAAGACCATCTGACTGCCAAAATCTTAATTGATCCGTTATACATATTTTAAAGTCCAGATTATAACTGGTACCATTGGAACAGCAATGCCATCAGTGAAAATGGTCTCCTTTTGATCTTCCTGTAGTTGTGATAGAGGACCTATATTATTTATGCAAATCACTACTACTCTATTTTCACTGCCACATAAGATAGAAGGTAAATGAGCTGCTGTAAACTGCTAAAAGGTCACAAAATCAGTTTTATTTTATCCAGATGAAATACTTACTAAATCTGCAATTATTATTGTTTGCATTCATTTGTATTTCATTATTTGATAAAAAATGAAAAGTAGAGACAAGATATAAAGAGTGGCAGAAATTTAGATGCTTCTAGTAAACTAGAAATCAGATTTCCACAAATGGATCCATTTTTGTAATAAAAGTGAGGACCTGGAAAACCAAGGTAAAATAAAGATAAAAGAAAAAATGTAATTTAATATCCTAAAATAACCTCAAATGTCAACATTTTCTCCAAAGTAGAATTAAGCATACGATGGCTTACTTCTTAGACCCTACATAAGAGTGTTGTGCTAAAGTCTCATGAGGTCCTTAAATGGCTACACAATGGATCCAAAAATAGCTTTATGGTGAAGTTTGATTATAAGAGAAATCTTTGTAAAGCAAGATATTAATTGATATGAAAAACATTTAATATTACAGAAGCCACAGTAGACTGGCATCTCTAATGATGAATAAAAATTACTAGAAATTATTCCTTATAATAATAACATTGTTATTCATTGCACACACACTTATCCAATACCTGTGTGTAAGACTTTCATAGGTGCATTGAAGGAAAAAAGATTAAACATAACATTTCTGCCCTCAATCTCACAGGGGCACAGAAGTGTACATAAATAAAATAGAACAAACAAGGTACTTTGGGTATTTCAAGGAGGGGAATATTACTTCCAGCTTTGGGGAGTGGGGGCGAGGAGCAGAAAAGGGAAGAAAACATTACTGAGAAAAAATCCAACTCAAAGGTCACTTTGGTTCTGACATGTTTCCCAACTTCACCAGAATCCATTAAGTAAGAAACAGAACAGGTGTGAAACAAATGGCCAGCAATGCTATGACAACCATCTCTTAGATCTAAAATAATTTCATATAAAATTGTTGCCGTCGGAAGGTTATACGCTAGTTGTATTTGACTCAGATGCTTCTACCACATAGCTTTGCTATATTCAGATACTACTGCATCTAAACATTTTTGTTATTGTTAAGAAACACAAATATTTGAATACAAAATAAGATATTTATTTGAATTGCCTTGTATCTCTAAGTCACTGAAGCTTGATTTAATAAACTGAATAAGTATTTCACCTATAGTCACATATGAACGCAGTGAACTTTTCCCCCAAAAAATCCGTACATGTAAGATATATTACCTTATGCTATTCTTTATTCAAGACCACTGAGCAGAGTATACCTATAATACTGTGAGCCATTGTGCAGATTTCAATACACTCTGTGTAAATCATCAACACAGCCTGACAATTCCTCAACATGAATCTCAAGGACAGCATTATAGTAAGGTTCTAATATAAATAAATGGATATAAATTGGGCTGACAGACAAGAACTCTAATAATGGTCCACAAAATTGCCCACAAATCCCTTTCTCACAATGCACACAAAATTGTTTTGTGGTTTGTCAAAGGATATTCCATTTCTGCTCGAATGTCATTGAGACGGTGTGATAATTCAGTTAGGTCATCTTCTTTGTTTTCATCAAATACTTTCAACTGAATATCAAGCTCATCATTTTCTTTTTCTTTTAGATCCTAATATATAAACATAAAACTTAACACATGAATAACAGTTTGACAACAGCATATTTAGGTAATAAAGGGCAGAACACAATTATTCATTTATAAACACAGAAGCAATTTCAAATATTGACGCGGGCACTTGGTTTTCTGAAAGTAAATGTAGCTGAATTTTTCTATTTCAAAATAAAAGGACCTCATTGCATTCACTTAATTTTTTTCCATGCCCTACATTTTGATTACTCACATTAAAAAATTAGCGATCAGTTCTACAACAGAAAAAAACTAACTGCTAACAACCCAAATTAAATGCTGTCGTTTTGACTAAACACACTAATCAAAGATTGCAAAAGAACTCATGCAGTCAGAACATTCACATGTGCCTCTGGCAAAAAATGCAAATACAGATCAATTGTATTAACGAAGAACAAATGCAAGGATATATTCAAGCACAACAGTCCCAAGTATGGCGTGAAAAGATGTATAAACACATTTATTTTAAAAGATATTTTGTGATTTTAAAGCAAAAAGGCGTTTGGACTTTTTATTAAGCTGTACATCTAACCTCCTCCCCCACCTTATATTTTTGCTTAGCCTAATCACAAAATACCAACTTGGGCATAAAAGTTATGTTTTTGTAATACATTATAAGCACATGCATTACAAACCTCTGATAATTTTCATATAATAGTATAAAAATTTAGAAGCATGCCACACTAGAGATTGTTGGGCTCAATATATATCACCTGGAATATCTTTTAATATGTGTCCATTAAGTTGCAGCTTTCAAAACCCAAATCGATAATCACAACTGTGGATGCTCAAGGGTGATACCGAAAGTGGGACTAGGATGTTCAGAGCTGAGCTTGAACTCTAAAAGGAAATGCAAGCATGGTGTACTTCAAATTAGGTCGATAAAACAAAATGGGATACATTTCTTGTTTCTATCTTTATTCAATAGAACTATTATAGATATGTAATGGCTATTACTGAAGCCAAACAAATTTCAGCAATTTCTAGATGCTTTTTTTTTCTAACACTCACATACATAATGATTTATTGAAAATTTACCTGCAGAGCATATGAAAATAATTGTTTCTATATAATTTCATATCAAACATAAGTAAATATATGTATGTTTGGTTTCCTTTTTAGTAATAACTTGCTTTAGCTCTAGTTTTCCAGTTTGAAATGGAATGAAGAAACTTATTAGAATGTAAAATTATCTAACGTTGCTGGGTCATATTATCAGGTGATTTCTGAATGCTATTTAGAAAATTACATAAGCCAGACAAACCTAATACACTGGTCACTGCAGAAACAACCTGTCACACATTTTACAGTATGTCTTATTCTTGTCACCATATATTCTCTCTCAGAAATTCATCGTAAAACTTAAACACTTTCAAACATGTCAGAAAAACAGAAAAATTTAAGTACTGCCATTTAATTAGCATAGAACGTTACAAAACATGAAAATCAGTCAGCATAATTAAAATATTTTCAGTGAAAATTACTGGTTAAATGTGCAATTTAGTTCTTTATTAGGTCCAGACATTATTTATACTATATATAGTATGTGAGCACATATAGCACAATATAAAATTTGACATGTGTAACTGCAGTATTTTATAAATATTCTTTATTAATAATGCTCCAGGTCTATCAGAGTCAGTCCTCATTTAATGTCCTCAGTAGTTCGTGGAAACTGCAACTTGAAGCAAAAAATGTATAGCAAAACCAATTTTCTTTTCTCATCAACGTTATAATGAAAGGACATTATTCAAGGACCTACCGTATACAGTTTTGCTTCCAGGTGCAGTTCGCAAGATTCTATCAATGACATTAAATGAGAAGTTACTGTAAATATATATGCATATACACATACACATATATATGCTTATATTTATGAAACTTCCTTTCAGCCAAATGTCAAGCCTTGAAATATTCATAAATTCTTGATAAAATAAACATTTACTGAATAAAAATTTTTACATAGTACAAATAAATAATAAGATGGGTCTCCTATAAAAGTAAATGGAAATCTATCAAAGAAGTTTTATGTTTTAAAATGTGAACTATCACAAAGTTACTGAAATACATTGTTATTAATTATGTGAAACACTCTATGCTTCTTATTTTTTAAAAAGACATGCTGTATAGATCTAAAATTATTTTTTGCAGAATTCCTGACATATGTAATTTTCTATAACATAGTATACTTCAAAGGAAATCAAAGTCCATTGCCAGTACACTACTGATTAACAACCAACCAAAATTGAGTCTTTAAAACAAGAGTTTCTCAGACTTTTAAAGAGATAAAAGTATGCCTACTGCCTACCAACACCATTTCTTACTATGTTTTTCCTTCACGTATCTGATTTAACTAATATTTTCTTAATTTATTTAAATAAAATGCAAATGGGGAAAATTTCAGAAGAAATCAATGTAAATTAAGTACAGAAAAAATCCTATTTTAAAACTCACTGTAGAGTTTGTAACAACTCATTTATTCTAAATTACTAAAGCAAATTTATCAGACATGAAATTTCCATGTAAATGAAATATAAACTATTTTTCAACATCAAAATTTAACTATAGGGATGACAGGAACCTTGAAAACAAATTTTTAAAGAATATAATTAAAAAATTCGTTGTCTTGAAGATTCTGATAATTATTATGAAAAAAAGTTTCACTCTACTACAATGTTGATCTCAAGGATTACTGAAATACTAAGAACCAGTTTTTCCCAACTCATACTGATTCTAGATACATATAATTTTTCATCCATATACCAACAATTAATAATTAGCCCTAGTCACATCTAATTTGCTGCTTTGAATATACTGTATTCTAGAACATTAGGGAATTATTGTTAGAACTGGATATAAAAAAAGAATAAATAGAAAAAAATGTAAGGATTTTAAAGGCTCATCTATGACCATATTATTAAGCTTCACTGCATATATAAAGGATATGTAATGTTACTATAAATTCCAGTGGTTTAAATTTAAATATTTAGTTCATTAGCAGGTTAATTAGATAGTAGTCGACATGTGCAGTATGTAGTATATGTTAACCCATGACCACTCTGTCCTGCTCCCAAGTTGTGATAAACTAAAACAACAGCAGTGAAATCTACAGTTCTAAATAAATGATCTCTAATCTTCTCAAGGTCTATCTGCCCAAATACTGATTCTACTCTTGTATATGCGATCCCAGCACTTTGGGAGGCTGGGATGGATCATTTGAGGCCAGGAGTTGAAGACCAACCTGGCCAACACGGCGAAACCCTGTCTCTATAAAAAAATATAAAACTTAGGCCAGGCGCAGTGGCTCACACCTGTAATTCCAGCACTTTGGTAGGCCGAATATAAATTTTACCACAAAAATATGTACAACTATTTTGTATCCATAATTAAAAATATTTTAAATTTTAAAAAAGAACATATAAATTAAGAAGCACACAGTACCACAAAAAGTTTTATATAGGGCTATATGGCCAATGGAAAAGTGTAGCTTAGAAACACTGACACATAATCTTAGCTGTCTGTGTAACCAAATGAATAACATGAGGCCACTGAGCCCGGCAGAGATTAACGTACCCAGACAAAAGTGCAAAAGGTTAAGGACAAGAGCTACAATACCATACAGTTTCTGAAAAATGAGGACTAAAATAAATTAAAATGAGAGTCACAATTCTCTTGTCACAATTCTCAGTAGTATAAAGCAGAAAGTGAATGTTCAATTATAAATAGAGGGGAATGAAAGACAGAAAAGTAAGAGCAACAACTATGGCAGAAAACATGGCATATTAGTAAATGAGTAGAGGATGCTACAGAGCCCTTGCAGCCAGCAAGTCTTCAAAGATGCTACTATAAAGAGAGAACCAGTCCAGTAAAAACAAGCATGGAAACAGACAACAAGGAAATTCAAAAGCAAACTACCATCAAGACTATAAGATTATCTTTAGCTACCTAAGGCTACAGGCTTTGGATGAAAAGAAAATTAGTGAAAAAAAAAAAAAACAAGAATAATCATATGTCACACTAACTGTAATTGGTGAATGTGCCTAAGTTAACTGCACACTGAATCTCTAGATGGGTCACTTAAAATGTTGTTTGATTCTCTGCATCCAATGCCTTGGTTTTAGGTGCCAAGAATGAAAGAACCACTTCAGGTGGGATTGACATAGAAATTTCCAAAACCAGGTGGACCCAATCATACATTTTATTAAAATGGGTTTAACAGGTCCAACCACACCACTTATTATGATGGGTTTCAACTACTTTCAGTTAAAAGTAACCCACCATATGTTACAAATTTATGCTACATACTGATTCCTCACCAGGAAATGTCCCCAATTTGGGTATTTCTGGTAAACTAGGTCATACACATGGGCACACACACGCACATTCAATGACATTTGTTGTTGTTGTTTTTCTCTCCTCAGTGCTTTTTCCCCACTTCCTTACTTTTACTTCTTGTCTCTCAGGTATATTCTGAGTAGCTTAAAGACACTAGCGTAATTTTACTTGTCTTGAACAATGCCATAGTCTTCAATAGTCACTCTTCAGTTAATATACTTAATAAAATATAAAACCACAGTAGTTGTATTTGTATTTAAAAAAATGAGTGTGCTCATTCAAAAATGCTTTTAACACTGTCATAATTACAGCAAATATTCACATTCAATTTAAGAAACAAAATTGTTTTTGATTGGAAAAGTTCCTATAGCCTTGTAACAAGAGGAACATTCTTAAGCAATGTGTCTGGCATATACTAATCAAAACTCTATGCATGCTTATCCTGAATACCAGTGAAATCAATCTAAGTTATCAAAGAGGAAAGCAGAAAATTTTACATGAAAATTGAATCTGCAAAAAAAAAAAAAAAAAAAAAGTCTCATGTTTTCAATATTCAAAATTCAAAGAAAAGAAGTTCCCTCTTGACTTGAGGAAAACAACAAAAAACAAAAACACATCGCTTCTGGGCACATTATTAGCTGAATTCGGAATCGTCATTTGTATGTAGAGAACGCTATTACTGGAATACAAAAAAGCTTACAAAATGTCTAATGCTTTACAAAACAAAATAGCAAAGCACATTTATTTACTCTGCTTCAAGTACTTTTGTGGAAGTGAAAAAAATATTAAAATTCGTCAGCATAATAAACGTATACATTCAACTTACTGGTAACATTGTTTTTAGTCCTGAACGGAGGAATTCATTCCTTAAATGTATTCGAAAATCAAGCTCATAAGGAGAAGTGACAAGGGCATTTATAAACTGCATGCAGGCCACCTGCAATTAGAAAGCAAATTTTGTTTTAAAAAAACACATTAAATAAATTAATGAAATAATGCATTAAGATAATATATTCACTAAAGGCATACACACATAACGATAAAATAAGAAAAGCAAATATTCTAGAAGTATGATTATGACTTTAATTATAAACAACAAAATTAATGACAAAGTATCTAATGTCCAAAACAATTCTAACAAAGATGTCATGACCAAGTATGTTGTGCTTTTAAAAAGAATACGAAGAAATATTAAACTCCCTCTGAAAAACCCAAATTGCTAAAGCGGGCAGATAGAGCCCTTTGAAAAGATCACAAAATGTATCTTTCATGTCCAGCTGTCCTCACAGTACACTTGGCCTCAATTCTACAGGGTTATAAACACTTCTAAAATAAATTAAAGTTATAAAAGTACCCTAATATTAAACAGGGAACAGTGATAACTTAGATAAAATTATTACATTGATTTACATTCTCTCCATCCTCTTAATGGGATGATTTGTACAAAATATATAAAGTATTAAAATAAGTAATTAAGATGGATTAACTTACTAGGTATGAAAAAAATAATAGAAGTGAATTAAGATCAACTAGAAGGCACCGGGACACTAATACTAATGCACACTTCATAATAAAGCATATGTAAGAGTTTGTTTTCAAGTAAAGTATTTGATTAAATATATTGATACTGAAAAATGAGTTTTGCTTTTCTTACCTTCTGATTTTGAGATTCCCTATTACAAAAAGGAATTTATTTGCTGGTAATTTTAATCTAGAAGGGAATCAACAAAATGCTAAGTGCCAGGTATTCCATAAATTATTCCTAAGTAGCATTTTTGGAAAATGCTGCTCAAATCTAAGGTAACTGGCTAATTGTTTAACTGAAAAGATGTCATTTAAATGTATTATTTTTTATTTTTAAAGAATGCAATGAGTAGAAGAGTGCTCAAAGGGCAAACTACAAGGGGAATCCTTGGAAAAAACAGATTATATAAAGATACTGCTATACTATATATAGAAGCACACATAAATAAATTAATAGTTAGCATGGGAAAAATATATTATGAAAAGACAAATATTTCAAATGTATTTTAACTTGACATCTACAGATCTATTATGATAGAGTTATTTTTTCCAAAATAGGGCGAAGAGATTAAAAGGTATGCTTTACTCTTGAATCTATATCTTATATATTTAAGTTGCTTTTTGGGAGATTAGCCCATCTGCCCCACATCTACATTCAAAAATCAAAAGTTACATGGTTTAAAAGGGCTGATTAAGGTTGTTTCTAACATGATCAGATATCTGAATGATACAACAATATATTCTAATTTCTATGAACGTTCAAATATCAAGACAAAACACTTAGAAAACTGACTAAATATTTGCCATAGATTTGGCATTAACTTTAAAGACATACCAGATAAGTTATAATGAAGCTTATGCTTTAATAGATTACCTAACCTTCCTATTTACAATAGGAAATCATGTAAATCTTTATATAGTTTTGATAGGCTAGGCTATATATTTGCATACTGTACATGTCCACGGTTATATTGTCATTGTATCTGCTTGAATGACTCTTGTTATGTTACAACTATGACACGACCAAATAAGCCAAAGTACATGTCCAATCCAAAATTAATAGAGAGAAAAGTTGCCATCTGTTAGGATTGTTTTTGCCAGAAGAAATTCTAGCTTAATGGCTTGTATTAATACCCTACAAGCAAAGAGAACATTTCTGTAAGAAGCAAGTTAATGTGTCCTGCAATTGTATCTTTATACAAATAAAAGTATTTAGATCAGGAGACAATAAAGATAATAAAAGTCAATAAAATTAATGAATGTATCAATATAATTAAATATTATATAACATTTAATAATATGTTTCAATGATATTAAATACTCACTTTATATATAATATTTGAACCTATAGTTTAATATGAAAACAAAGACGTTCCATCCATTGACTATAGTATATAATAATTAGGACATAATGTGAAGTCAGTTTTAAAAAGGTAAAGGTACTGGCTTAACAATGTACCATTTATTATACATCATATTCTAATAGATATTTAATTAATTACAAATAACATAAGATGAATACACATGCTATCATGTCATTTTCCAACATAAGTTGATAAAGTAATACTCTTTTACAGAAATATGTATATTGTAATATGAATGTGGAAAACAAAAAGGTCATCTAAATTTTTGCTATTCCTTTATGCCGTTACACAAATGCTGCCCTTTTCAGAGAATGGGAACATTATCTCAAATTCAAAACTGAAATAATTGTCACTATTTACAAATACAAAATTAAATTTAAATTAGCTTAAAGGCCAGAATATGTTACTACTTAATTATAAACATGACAACCCCATTGTGTGTATCCTGAATTCATAGCTAAATATAAAATCTCAAACTATCATCATCATCATTATTATTATTAGTTATCACACAATGTATTAGGTCCTTTACATAATTCACCATCTAATCTCATCTTCATAAAAACCACACAAGGTTAGCATTACTGTTATTCTTATTTTACAGATGATGAAGCTGAGGCTCAAAGCAGATAGAATAACTTATATAAGGCCACACAGCAAGGAGGAAACTCATGATTATAAATGATATCACTTTACTACAAATATAATTTCCAGCACATTCCAAAGGTCTCATAAACTCCGTTCATAGATTCTCACAACAAAAGATTTTAAGGATGGGTAAGATGATAAAATGTAATTGGTACAACATGCTTAATATACTGGGGATATGTAGCTTTAAAACTATAGGTTAATCAGAAAAACATACAATAATATAAACAATAGGTTGTCTAGTATACATAGTGGCTATCATAATATATAATGTAATGCAAAAAAAAAAAAAAAAAGCAAAAGTAGAAAATGGTTCTTGGTGAGGGTTAAATTCCACTTCATGTACATCCTGAGCAGTAAAGTATAAATGGCATCCCATCATTCAAAATAATGGTCTACCACTCCTCTCCTTTACTTCCTGCCAACCCACTCCATACTCAGCATGTATATGCATGTGAACACATGTGTACACGCACACACACACTCTACAGTACTGTGCTATCCAATATGGGAGCCACTTGTCACAGTTTAATTTAATTACAATTAAATAAAATTTAAAATTCAGTTGCTCAATTTCACTAGCCATTGTCCCAGTGCTCAACAGCCACATGTGGCTAGTAGCTACCACATTGGACAGCAAGGATATAGAACATGGGAGAAAGTTTGATTGAATAGCACTACACTGGAGATTTTAAAGAAAAAAAGAGATTTGGCCTAATCTCTGAAACCTTCACTTCAAAGAACTATAAAACTCATTGCTGAATAATGAAAATTTCAAAATTCATATGCTCAACTTCCAAGTATATAAATCTTTAAGAGATGAGTGTACTCTATTGTCCTCTAACAATGCAAAATCAATCTGCTTTCCAAAAAAAAAAAAAAATTCAACTCCAGAGACAGAAAATAATCATGAGATTTTAAAGCTAGACAGAACATAAAATACTCTGGTCCAATATGTTATTTAAAAATAAAGAAACTGAAAACCTAGAAAGACTGGATGATTTGCCCAAGATCACATAACTAATAAGCCCCAATGATACAACTAGAACTCAGGTCTCTTGACCTTTAGCCTTGGACTTTTTTCTACCATATTGTATCACACAAATCTTGTTTAATATAATTTCCCCTTATCTTAGAAAGAAAACAAATGCCCTTGAATTGAATATCACAAAGTCCATTATCCAGAGTTGCTCTGTTGCTTAGTGTCTTTATAATGGCTATGTTTCAAAATGGTCTGCCATATCTATTGTTACAAATACAGCTTCCATGAGAATCAAAATTTTAAAGTCACAGAAAATCAGTGAATTTCCTCCATTATTAATACATATGCTAGGGCCACAATTCTGATGCTTAATTAGTAAATACAATCAATTTCTATATTGGCATTTTCATTCAGTGATGTCATAAGATTTCAACATGAGATGCATATATATCCTATTGAATTAATACATAAGCATACATAGTTAAAAACTACCAGTTCTGTGCATGTGATAAAGTACCCAATCATTTGTGTCATGTATAATTATACACTACACTGAATCATTATCCGTTTTCTACCATTTTAAGATCCTTCCTTTACTATAACAGTATATTATATTTCTACAATAATCATCTACATTTTTTAGTCACCAGATGCTGTTGTCTTCGTTCTGGGGTGGAATGGTATAAAGGGTGAAATGTTACAAAACAGATGATAAACTTTCAAAAGGCAAAGCTCATCTATACATGCCTAGGGTTTATTTGTAACACTTAACTGTCCCAAATAAAATAATTAAAATATAGTAAGTGAATGACATTTAAATATTTCCAATTTTATTGGCATAAGATATAGCATTACAAAAAGAAATTTGTTTTTTTTAACCTAAGTGACAGAGAAAGGGAAATATTTGAACACAAATATCTTCATAAAAGTACTGGGAAAATGCTAGAACCTTTGATTGATTTTAACTTACAGGCTTTGAAAACTATACAAACATCTATCTATTTAATCAAAATTCATAGAGCTATGGGATACAATAATTGCCAAGTCTAGGGCATTCTCAGACAGATTATCCATATTGCCATTATCTGTGACAAATTGTACTTTTAACATTTTATTGACACTGTTCCACACTTGACCTTATTAAGTACTCTGTTGACATTAACAAGGTCTTTCTTTATCCTAGTCCAACAGGAGTTAGGAACAAAGATGATTTAAGTCAAAGTATGAGAGAAGAAAGATGTGAATGTACAGAGCAAGTTAATTGAGAAATGGAGTACTTTCCAAGCCAATGGAAGTCATGTACAAAGGTATGAAGGTTGAGGAATAAAACAGCATAAAATCTATAGGAAACAAAGCACAATATGACTAGACTAAAAACATATGTAGAAGCGTGGTGGAATATGAGGCGAAAGAGAAAGC